GAGTATTCGGTACATTTCCACATCAGGTAGGGCAAAAATTACACCTATACAAAAAATCTATTTATTATTTGAAAAAAAAAATACATAAGGACCAAATTAAGTAAACATTTTGCAAAAGATAATAAATTTAGTATCATTGGTTAATATGCCATTAAAATGGAATTTCTAATATATAATACCTTTTAACACTAAAAGCAAAAATTAGCTTACCAGCATTGCACAAAGGAATGAAAATCACAGGAAAATCCTCTGTTTGGTGGTAACTTTGGTGGATCCTCCGATAGAACTCTTGCTAGTACTTCAAAATCGTTCTTACAATTCTTGTAGGGGAATTCACCTGTGGCGAGCTCAACCTAACAAACAACAGATATTATTATTATTATTAGTTTAAAATTTACAAAATTAATAAATATATAAACCACACATTAATACATAGATAATCTGTATTTTTTCCTTTGCAAAGATTGAAGTTATAATTCAATATCTTCTTAATTTGTCAGTGGCAGATCCAGATTTTTTTTTTACTGGCATGTTCTGTTGGGGATGGAAACTATAATCAAGAAAAGAAAGTTTTGGAGGGTTTCTTACCTATTACGGAAATTTTGGCAATTTTAATGCCTTATCCACACAGTGATATTTTCGCTGCCTCGGGAAGGGTATTGCTGCTTTGCTACCCCTGGGATCTGTCACTGTTTGTATGATGCTCCCCTCCCAAAAAAAAAAAACTTCCAAAAACAATAACTTACCAGTGATATACCTAGACTCCACACATCTGCTCGTACATCGTAGTCTGGATTTGAAGGGTCAGGTGGGTCAATCCTTTCAGGCTGAAAGTATCATTACATACATAATACATATATTAAGAATATACAACATCTATCCAAACAAAAAAAATTCTCACTTTGTATACTGAGGCATGACAGTTACCTCTAATCATACTCTAAACAGGATACACAAGATATACTTTGACAGACAATGGGATCTCCTTTTCTAAAAGAAGATATGATTGTATTTATTCATTTATTTTATCAGAAAATGCGATCTTCTTCAACACTATAATAAATATGATAAGAATACGCGACATTTACTGTGAACATCACTGCCATTAAACAAAAGAAAAATACTGTATGGAACTTGCTACCAAGAAGTTTTAACTGTTCTTTTGTTTTACTAAATATTTATAAAATCAGGTCGTTCAACCAGGAAGAAATATTAAAGCATTAAAGGTATTTATTATACAATTTAAGAAAAAGTTGGAGAGTACTTTACATCTCAATACCTTGGGGATAAAAACCAAAAACAAAAGATTAGAGCTTTGTCAAAATATGCTAGCCTTCACATACTTCACAGAGTGGCTAAGAAGTCATGTCTATAAGCATACAAGAACTATACTTCATTGGTCGCGTAAATAGGTATCAAACTATCAATAGATCATGTTATTAAGGTCATACACACCTAAAATATTAAGGACTTCAGAGTTAAAAAATTACAACAAAAATATTATTATAGAATTGAATATTTATTTGAATATGAATTTGGTTCAATTTATATAGTAACATCCCAATTACGTAATGACGTCATCGTCACAATCCAAGTTCGTAAAATTGCGAGTTTATAATTGGGAGATTTTACTGTATTTCTGTATAATAAAGATTGCATGAAAATAAATTCAAATTAAGTTTTGTTTACATAACTACCAAAATTTATATTTAAAAAAATAAAATTTAGCATTCTCAAAATTATATATGATGCTATAGCAAGCACATACATTATTATTTAATTAAAATAATTGTTTTTTAAATAGTAAATTGTAGTATGATACTGTAAATTAAATAAAACAATTCCAAACTAAACATTTAAAGACATACTGTCTTTAGTAATACTGTATATTGAAAACCACTAAAAAATATTAAAAAAAACATTAAATTTCTAAACTTGTAGGATAAAAACTGAGAAGTTTTACACTGTCATTTAACAGTATTTACAATTATTTATGTAACTATTCATTGCAAAGGAAATACTTGTTCTAATTTTTAAGTAGAAGGTAATAAATCAAATTAATATATGCAAGTTAAATATTAAATTTAATATTTTAAGTTTGAAAACTCTAAAGAAAATATAGCTTAAACTTTGAAATTTTGTAAAACACGGACTGTTCTGTAATATTATGAATTATTATTATTTATTTAACGTTTGCATGGCAAGTATCATTAATAACTAAACTTTTAGTACACAATGTGTAAAAATATTCTTTAGTTATTTTATTAGCAAAATTATGCTTTACAAATTTTTTTCTAGCTTTTATGAATGAAGGTGAACAATTTCATTGAAATATAAGTTATTCTTACAGCCATATACGCTGCACAGCCAGCACTACGTGTCCTAGCCTTCGAGTCCACAAGGCGTCCACTAATACCAAAATCACAAAGTTTAACTGTCCCTCTTTCATCTAACAAAATATTTGAAGGTTTTACATCTGAAAGTGGAAAAAATCAGTTTTCTTTTTAAATGTCAGACCAAAAAATATTTCAGTGTCTTTCGATATTTGCAACAAGAAAAGTTTATAACTTATGTAATGAATATTATTTCAAATGTTTTAAAACCCACTTTAAATGGGCAATAAAGTATATAATCTATCATAAAAAACATGAATATTTAACAATAAATAATATGAATACATATATTGTAGGGTAGACTTATATGTTATCAACAATAAATAATATGAATGTATATACAGTAGACAGTGAATTCTAGGCAAAGGATATTTTGAAAATTTATATATGTCAACTTAATGACCTTCTAGGATTATGAAGACTTAGAAAAAAAGGGGCCTAAGGGCTGTAGATTAAGAGGAAGTCAGTGTTACTGCTCATTTGCATAATATGCTCACAGACATGCATACACAAAGACACACACTTACCTAGACTTTGTTCTCATGGACAAGCTCACAACCAATATGTCACACATGACATAAACATACAAGACTTTATCTGGCAGACTTTCTCACAGATGCTCTCATAAATCCTCACATACACAGACACATACACTACACACATTCTTTCTTGTATTCTTATGACATTGCTCAGACAGACACGCTCACATGTAGACATTGAAGCCGTTGGGGATAGGGAAGGAAGCAAGGGCCCCATGTACCATGTCAAAGAGTTCACAACATTTTGTGGCGGAGAAAAAAACCTTGTGTAACTTTTACAGATTATGGAACTCTACAGTATAACCTCCAAAGAGCACTTCTGGCCCCACCCACTAATGGTCCAGTCAGGGTAGTTAGCACTCCTGTCAGAACAGCACCCCTCATATGATATTCACACACCACAATAATGTGAACTGTATAACAACCTACCTCGGTGCATGACCCCATGTTTCACCTTCAGGTAGTTAAGTGCATTAACAATCTGTGCAAAGAGAAAGTTTTCAGGTCATGTATTTACTACTTCCTATAAAAATTCTGGCCAGGATGCAGTTTTCATGTGAAAAGAGCAAGTGCTTAAAATTTATATGTCACTTTCGCAATTTTCTAATAATATTCACTTATAATCACAAAATAACACACAACAATCACTAAGTATTATTAAACAAATAAAAAAAAGAGTGTTTAGTCCAGCCCAGATCAAGTTTTCCGGTAACAATTTTGTGAGAATGCTTCTGGAATGCCTACACCAATTTGAAAAGCAGCATTCTCATAATATGTCAACGATTTTGTAAATAACTGCTAAGTGTCTTCCATCAAGTCGGATATTAAACCCAGTAACCAGACCTTGTCATTTAAGGCACGCGATCGCGCACCATTGCGTACCTAAACTGCTATCAAGGGACGTGAAAAATAGCTCGCCTTACATTTCAAAATAGCTCACCTCCACAGCCCTCGAAAGAAGCTGAAAACGGCAATTATTTACCAATGCAAAAGATGCTAGGCCTAGGCTGAAAAACGTCTTTATACCAATATCGTGGGTAATTATACTTTTTTGTATACAATGTACGAACTTCTACAAACCGAACAAACAGTTAATAAACAACAAATTCCAGACGAAATAACGCAATAATCACATTGCTGTCTAGGATATTTAACAACTAATGTAGGCCTAGCACAATACCCTGTGAATGAACCGTTCGTACTGCTTTCTCAGTCCCAATAGTGTGCTGCTGCCAGAGATTATCTTTTGATTTAAAACGATACACCATGAAAACGTTAAAGTTACATGGTTAGATCAAGTGAAAATTATGCCTTTCATTGTTTAATAAAGTGCATTATCGCTCCTTTAAAATTTATTGGAATCAACCTGAAATGAAGACGGAACTCAAAGCAAGTTTCTACGATGGCTGACTTTTTTAGATGACGTTTATTCGGATGTCGTTAGATTCATCAGTGTAAATTACAAATGCATAGCTTCACATATTTTTAAAACCATGTTCAATAAACAAGACACTTTTGAGAAACATGTTGCTAATTTAATTACAGAGGATATTTGTAGAGAAGAAAATTTAAATTTGTTAGATTTAATTTTTAAGTATAGGCGAAATACACCGAGTGTGTTCTATATCAGCAAGCTGTCACGCAATGAAACTTTCGGCGATCTGACGTCATCACAGCCAAGCACATGTTTGCACATGACCCCACGAAAAAAAATGAACCAATTAGCTGGCATAGTTTAGGAGGCGCGACCTGATGTCTGATGTTTACAACTTTCCTTAGCTCCGTACGTGTATAATTCTTATTTGTGTACATTTGGGTATTAGTGTATGAAGCATCCCCAAAGTTTTTTTTTAGCTTTATTACAAGTTCTTGCAGTTGGATGTGAAAGGAAAAATGAAAACATACCGCTACAACCATTTTGCCTATAATCTGTTCTGGTATTGGTTCCTTTAACCTCTTCATCAACTTCTCTAAACATGTTGCCATGAGCTCCATACATATCCACACCTCACTCTACAATATAGACAAAAACAAAATGTTATTATGCATCATTAACAAACAAAAAAATAATTTTAATTTCTAATTGCACCTACATTACCCAGTACTGCAACAAGAAGTGGAGCTGTAGTCTAAGTGATATAAGATATTGATCCTCCAAAATTAAAAATAACCCTACTTGTTTAAACACATAAAGATATAGTTTACAGAGGTCATCGCATCCACCTATTGGATGTTTGATGAGGGGAATGAAGAAATAAGCACCAATGTTTTAATGGATACAGTATGTTATTAGTATTTTAGGAGGGATTTACATTTTCAGAGTTAATTGGTTATCCATGTAGAAAAGGGATTAAAAAAAGGAAAGGTAAACTGAGGAAAAATATTAGAAGACAATTTACAAAAAAAAAAAAAAATAGCATGTAAATCAATGAAAATGAAAATGTAAATTCTGAGAAAAAAAAATCATATTTAAACTCTTTTTTAACAATTTACCTAATTGTTGAAATAGAAAAAAAATTCATTTTTTCTAGTGGTATTGTGGATCAAATGCTACTCCTACTGTTGAGTGTCAGTTGGTAAATTAGACCCCATTCTGATACCAGCTTTAAAAAGGCAATTAGCATAGCCTACAGATACACAGAACAGGTAGCAGTATTGTCTTAGCACAGGTGTGCTCCAAATACACCAATACAGGGTTTATATTGTGATGCTATGATATAATAACTGTGAACTTGATGAGTACTTGTAGGGGGTTAATTTTGTAGGTCAATTTTTATAAATTGTCCTGTTGTTCATTCACAGAGTACCTGTAAACCACATGTTTCAAATAAAAATTGACAGATAATTATAGTGGGTAATTTTGGATATGACTGACACCATCCAAATGATGATGAAACTGAACACAGCCAATATGGGACAATTGATCTAACAAAGAAGCAATCTCAATCAGCATGAATGTTAAATACTATGACACAAATATAAAAAGTGACCAAATTGACGACACTCCCAAACTGAAGAAATGTCTATTTTGTTTCTATTTTTTTCTTCACTTGGATCATGTGACCCATATATATGTGATCCAAAAACAAGGTAAAAATTATACTATAGAATTTATAGTCAGTCTGTGACAGAAAAATGTCTTCAAGCTGCTCATAACAGTCTTTCACTCAGTTTTGTAAATTTCCTGTGTGGGATCAATTATGGTTTTAGTCTTGTGGTTTAATATTACAATAGATTTCATAATTGTTTGTGTACGCAGTTACAGTGTAATTATTCTTCATGGTATTTCCTTCACTGGAAAATAAGGTTTGCATCTTGATCCTTAATATAATATTGTACCTGCACTCACACACTTCAACAATACCTTAACCAATCAGAAAGCTTGGGGTATTAGCGCACAAGTTATGATAATTTAATTAACTTCCTGCGCTTATTCCAAGACAGCTTATCCAGGTAAGTACCACAAATGACACCCACTTATTAACAGGTGTTTCGTCCCCTGCTCTACAGTATGTCAAGTCAAACATTTGCCTATCAGTGATCATCTTAACTTAAATTTCTTGGAAAGACTCCTGATATAGCAAACTCAATATCCTACACAAGAAATTGATTTCCATCCAGACAGAAACACTTGAGATTTTCTTTCGTATTCAACTTTATAATTGCATTTAACATTTGCCATGTTGGAAAGACTTCAGAGTACTGTAAATTCACAAAAACCAAATGGAACATTCTGTTACAAGGCACTAAACTATCATACCTTTTGAGGTAGATCATGCATACAGGTTGATATGTTTTTCAGGAAGAATGCATCCAGTTCAGTGTAAGAAATTCAGATCAGATATGAACCAAGTTAATTATGAATCAGTTTGCTTCAACTGGAATGTATATATGCCAAAAGTTGCCTACAGCCACTATTCGCTCAAAAAATTGCTTATAACGCATCTGTGGACCAATCATTTTTACAGCTTTGTGTGCTTTCAAATTTATCTGTCCTTCGTTTGTTAATGCTGTTGCGAGAGATTCTAGGCCTATGATAAAAGCTACTTAGCAGTTTACCACAAGAGACATAAATACTACTGAGGCCCTAATTAACCACACCACCAAATGCCTCCCGGGCCTAGCTTATTAAATTAGAGGTATTGGCAAGCATTTTATAAACTTGAACTGTGTACTATTTTTTATATCAGATTTTTTTGTATTACTTTCCACAGTATTGAGTTCAAAAATTTATAATTGATTCTAAAAAGAATGAAATAAATAAAATAAGCAACTTACACTTGTTACAATAGCTCCCAAACACTGGACTATATAAGGACAGTCATGGCTTTTCAATACTACATCAAGATCCATCAGTATACGTTTATTCTCTTCTTTGTTCGCAGACCGTCTCATTTGCTATGGAAATAATAATAAACAAAAATGAGACCAAATAAGAAGTAAACACTGGCGCTGTGTCGCGCATGGCCGGCAAAGACTAGATGTACGTTGTGGTCGCACATGGCACATTTCTGAGAAAATGCTGTTACTTGGTTGGCTGTATAACATATCAATACGTCTGATTAACAATGTATTTCGAGATGTGAACCGGTAACTTAAAGGACTTTAAGCCTTTTTAATACAGATGATGATGATGATGATAATAATGGCTCATGAGATGAAGATTTTGAGCATGACAATTTATTATCAACAACGATTATCATTCTATTTTATAATTTATATTACTTTACAAAAATAAGGTTTATAATTATGAGCTAAATTAATTTAAAAAACAAAACAAGTGACAAAAAAAATGTTTCTTAAAAAAATGTACCTTTACTGCTACAACACATCCTGTTTTCTTGTGTCTCATCTTGATCACATGACCACAGCTACCAAAACCAATTTCACCCAGAAGTTCCAGGGAATCTGTGGTGACTTGATATTTCTGAACACAAACAATAAAATTGTGAACATTTAGAATCAAATTAAATAATCCTTATTGAATCCCTATTAACAATCTGAAGAAATTAACAAGATGGTTTTTATAAAGTTAAGATTTCTGTACTAATTTTGCTTTCGATGCCAAAGCGAAAAAAGTTGAAAACATATATATTTTAAAGATTTTTTTACTGGTTTCCATAACTCCCATCTGGAAGCCTTGGACTCACTGCTTTAAAAAAATTCTAGTTCAGGAGATCTACTGTAGGTGCCTATCCTTGAAAATTGATCCACCATGGCAGGGCTAAGGTAGATGTGAACCCGTCAGGGACCATGGACTCAGCACAGGGGACCTTAAGTCTGGGAATTACTGGTGCTGTATCTGGTTTTCATGTAAATCAAAGACTAAAATTCAATAGAGAGAAGAGTTTGACAACACTAATAAAATAGCTAATCAGTGAGCATTAACAATTTACATGAAAATTCATGATTGCTTAATTAATAATCGCTCAATAAACCACACTGAACACCACTTTGCCAAAAAACTCATCAGCAAGTTTAACATATCACTAGATGACATTTAGAAAAATGGAATAAAAAAAACTTACTTCTCCTTTAATGGTTAATTTTCCGGTCTGACACATGATTTTCTCTAACTTTTTATCAATTTCTGAGCTAGTAAGGACAAAAAATATGGAAAAAAAGCATAAATAGAAATATCTATAATTGAATATAAATTGTTTATTCTTAAATTTCATGTATTCAGTCATAAAAAATCAACAGCAAAATTAATGGTAATGACACTGTAGTAGTTATTAACGATTACTTTTGCTATGTCCACACTATCTGTTTTATGTGACAAATATGTTTGATCAAGGCAATTCAAAAAAAGGACACACATCTCCGCTCTCGAACATAGCACGTGCGTACAGTCCTTTGATCTTTACTGTGGCATCGACAATCCGATACTAGTTGCGAGTACAGCCGTCAATTATTAGTTAGTGCGTGCCATACGTTTTATGGTGTTAGACTATTTTATTAACTTTTGGGTACTTTGCAATGTCTGTTACATCTGATTTCTTTTGACCACAAGCTCGTTAAATATTTCTATAAACTGCAATTTGATTTGTGAAAATAATACCAACAAAATGAAAATTTCTAGCAATTGAAAATTTATGATTTTTATAAAATTTAATGTTCTTATATAACATTAAACTGTCATTTTGACAATGTTGGACTAAGGTGCACAAAATGAACATTTGAGTAAATACAGAAAATTTATTAATTTTTTCTGCGAAATTAGTCTCATGAACGACAATACACCACGACATCAGTAAAATTAATGTTGAAATAACAAATATAATTTCAATCTAATGTTAGTGGAAAATATAATTAGACCTTTGTAATCGCCGCACAACGTGCGATTATCATGGTAACTTACACGCACGTGGGTAATTCGTCACACGCTGACAGTTAATTATGGTCTGGTTGCTATGGTTTTTGTGACGTTCAGCGTGTACGGACGCGCAGTGCCTAGAATGTCGATGCTAGAGTTATAAACTTTGTTGTCCAGAGATGTGCGTCCTTTTGTTGAATTTCTTTGGTTTGATGTGCCAAATGGCCATAATGATGTCCCATTACCCTTACATAATATACAGGCATCACATTTATTTGTCACATAAAATGTGAGAGTGTGACCAGAGCGTTAAAAATCCAATCAAATTCAAAACTTTTCTATTAACAATATGTCTTTCATTATTTTACTTAATTTAAGTACCGTACTCGTGCGAATAAGCGCCCCGTTTGAATAAGTGCTCCTTTCGATTAAGCGCCCCCTCATTAATATCATGAGATTTTAATTTTAGCAAGTCAATGATCCAATCAATTCTGGGACTGTGGTTGTTGGCATGATCTGAGCTGCAGAGTGCAATCACATTCTTCTTGGGTCAATATCAAAATGAGGATATTTCTCATGGACAGATTATTACAGCTCTGATCCCTAGACAGACAGTATATTTCCTCTTCTTACATTTTGTCTAGGCCTAGTGTCCTACTCCTTTTTCTTCTTTTTCCAACCCTTTAGCACATTCTCATCTGAGTTTTCAAAAAAAAAAAATGCAATGATCCTGCCATCCTGATAATCTCAATCGGCTGATTTTTCCTTTTCATTTCATTTCTTTAGGCACTAGCGCCAAGGAAATGCCAATAAGTGAACTTAATCACTGTCCTACTGTACGTGGCATATCCATTTAACAACACAGGCCTTAATGGACCAGTACAACAGGGTAACCCCTACTGTTCGCAAAAATGGCCAACAAGCTCACCACTATTGAACACCACTAATTGCATGCTCTTCTGCTGTTATGTAAATTCAAAGCATTATTGTCATGAAACTGCTCTCTGGACGATTATCTTTTCCGCCGCACCACCATTCGTAATTTTAGGTTTCCCGATGTCCTTACATTATCCTCTTTTCATTCAAAAAGTGCCTCTTGAATTTAGTAAGTTCCCATAAGAATCACTCAATTTTTATCTATTTTTATAAGCGCCCCCTCAATTTGCACTCTGTTTTCATACAGTAAGCGCCACGTTTGAATAAGCGCCCCTCTTAAAGTGCAAAAAAACATTTTAAGCACCTGGGCGCTCATTCACTTGAGTACGGTACATGCTGTACGGTATTTACAGTAAATACATTAAAAAAGTAAAAAAAAAAAGAAAAAAATTTTGTGAAAATGCACTGACAGTATCAGCCTGGATACTGTAAGGCGTAATCTTTACAAATATCATTATTTATAGACTTCCTTTCAAAATAATGTGCTTGCCAACATGTTACACTTCTGTGCAAAATATTTTGAATTTTCCCTGTAAAAGGCTTTAGGATATCGATTAACTTAAATCAGCTCATATAGTTAGTTTACTACAGATTTTCATCATTAACAAGTTGTATAAACTTTGCCAGATCATAATCTACAATAGTCCTTCAATTTTCTATTTCATTTTCTCTTTTTCTAAAAATTTATTTTGCCGTTATTTGATCTTGTGTTATTAATAAATTACTATATAGTGCACAATACCATGACATCATGCCAATTTCTTTAAAATTGGCATTATTATTTTTCATATTTTTAAGTGACAATGATTTTCTTACCTAGTAATTGATGGACGATGATGCATTGGTGGGCCAGGCCTAGGAAAATCAACATGATGCCGGGGCCTGATCCTTGTAGGTGTTGTACAAGCTTCAGGTAACCGGAGAGCTGGAATGTATTTGTACATAATTTATCATTAATATGCTGGTAATTTGTTAAAAATATATCGCATTGATTTAAAGCATGAAATAACAAGGCATTGAATTAATGAATTACAATAGTGGACTTCTAGATTATGATATAAAAAATAGTATTAGCATTGATTAAACTGTGGTATACTGTAAAAGTATCATTTTTTAAACAGTACAAGTAACAATGTACAGTAGCGGAATTTTGAAAAAGTACAGTAGTTCTTCTGTATATTTATTTATTTATTTATTCAACTGAACATATACTTTTGTTTCAGTGGCACACATTTTCATTCAATTGAATACAAAACTTTGCTGATTATTTAAAGGGTGGACTTATAGTATATTGAGAAATCTCCCTTTCAATCAAAAGAGAATTTTTCAGCATTGCATGTCTAATTGAAAGCTAATATTGATTCTTTTTCCCCTGAGAGTGTTTGTAAAGCTACTCATTCAAATCAAACCCTGGACCTTTGCTTGCAAAACAGGTATTACATTAAATCGAAAGTAAAATGGTGGGGTGGGCGTATGTATACCAGGAACTACTGCAAATTACATGAGGAATGAAAGGTTAAGTATGAATTTAAATGTGTCCCCAAAAACAAATGCAAGGAAAATATGATGAAGCTGGCATAATTAAACCGCCAACAATTAGAGTCTAGGTCAATTGTCTTGTAAGTGTACCCCAGTATGTACACTTTAACATGGCTTTTTCTACTCCACCAAGAGTAGCCTACTCTGATGGTATAGGTTAATGCAAATATTTTCATTATAAAAAATTAGGGATAGAAATCCATCTGCGCATTTCAGAAAATAAGGGTCAATTTGCCAAAAATTAGGCCTTGATTCTGTGCACATATTTCCTAGTGATTATCTGCGCCCATTTGAGCTAGTTTTTGATGCATCATCCGAGCAAATAAAATACATTACAGTATGGCCAGGGAGTGGATTACCATATAGTACTGTATGTCTTTCTTTTCATTAGGATTGTCTATGACATAGGCAATACTATTCAATAATGTATTAATTTAATATTTCCCAACAATGTATTTTTTGAGGTCCAATAAAACAATTTAGCATTCTTATACCACGATGAATAATGTTTTGAATAGAGTATGTCTATGCTACACTGAAATAAACTGAACATCAAAATTGTATGCAATAGTAGTTTATTGATCTACTGCATTCCTATTGTACTTTTATGGTTAATATTCTAGAGTATAAATTCTGAAATGCAGCACCAATGTGGTTTCTGAATGTAAACAACTATAAACAACATGGAACAAAATGCAGCAAGCATAATTTACAATTAAAGTTTTAAAATATAAACTATAAAATAAATAGTGTTTCAGTTTCTTGACAGTAAAATCTCATGTAAATCTTTATCTTATGCAGCTATTTTATAAAAAATGAAAGTTCAAAATATTTAATAAGTGATTTATTAGTCTACCATTTGACATTTTTAATGTGATACTGTATGATTTAAAATTCTACTTAAAGGAAACTGAATGTGGAAGGGACTTTGTATACACAAAAATATAGTATATTGTTTTGTAAAAATGCCCATGTAGTCTCCAGTATCGTAACTCCAGTATAAACCAAATCTCCCCCCCACACCACCTTTGAACACAATTGGGCCGTTATTCAGGGGCAGGGTGAAGTTAAAGTAAACCTGGGAAACCATCTTGACAATCTTTTTTATACTGCCAACACTATCATTTTCAGGGATTTTTTATCACAAAGTGATTTTTCAGTATTGGTTGCATAATTTCAAGCAAACCTTTGAAATTTTCTGAAGGTGTTCTAAGAAAAATACAGCTGAACTACTCATTCAAATCATATCCTGAGATTTCGCCCAAGGAAGACATGGGCTTATACTCGAGATGGGGTTACTGTACATCTATTCTAAGGAATTATGGAAGGAAAACCTGAATATTACTGTAGTACTATATTAATAACAGTTAAGATCTGCAAATACAGTACCTGTATTTTACATGCTTAAAATTCAAAAAAGTTTCTACTATTGTACCGTACTGTATTTTAAACATAAATACTATACTGTATGTATTTTCAAAGGAAAAAATTTAAAAAGATAAAAAATAATAACCAAACACATTCTTGTATTGATTTGTTTTGGGCCTCTGATTGTGATTGTGAAAATAAAGGATCATCTAGAAAAACCTAAAGACAAATGTGAAGATTGTAAAAATAGGATTACTGTACAATCTATGTTATCGATTCTTGAACATTATTGATCACATCAAATAAAAGAGAGTGTACAGTACACCTGACAATTTAAGTACTGTATATTCCGGTGTATAAGCCGCAAATTTTATACGTGATTTCCCCCCCAAGGTTTGGGGTGCGGCCTATACACCGGTCATTAACCTACTCCCAAAAAAGTTCAGATCGCGAGCCGCGGCAAAAATCAGGCGCCGTCTGTCTACCTGTAGGTTAGGCCCGTGCTAGCTCAATTAATTAGCCTAGCCTAGGACTGGTTTGTAGCCCTAGTATTTGTAATTATACTCACTACAGTGCTGTACTAGGATTGCTACTAAATTCTCTATGACATTCAAGCAATAGTTTGAGTTGCCTAAATAATTATTTTCATAATTACATTCACTTATAAACAATTTTGAAACACAGGGTTTCTGTTCGAAAGCGCTTCGCTCAAAACAATAACAAACAACATTTCGGGAGTTTGGTCCTCGAGGTCACGTGAGCAGCTTCATTTTCGATGTCTCAACAAAACACACGTGGACTAGTGAAACTTGCAGCTCGCCGTCTGGGTCCCGGTGGCTTGTACCGTTATAGAGAGGATATTAATAGTAAATACCGCTATAATTTTAGAATAAAAACTTGTGAAATTAATTTATGCTATAAAAACACGAGTTTTCTTGAAGTTGTAATAATTTTTTTACTGGAATATAACTGTAGAAAGGCATACATCATCTGTTCATGCGTGAACTTTGTATCCAATCCACGATATTTTTTGTTTATAAAACGTGGTGCATGATGGTGCATGCTTTGCACAGTGGGATGTGAGTAGTAATGACTTAGGCCTAGAATTACCAATATTTTTATTTAATACCGACTATTATTAGTCAACAAAATAATAGAATGATTGTTTAAAATAGATAAATATACTCAATAAGTATTAAACTTAAACTAAACTGTTGTTGAAAATTTAACGTAGCACGACTGTCTAGCAAAAAAATGGGGATTTTCCTAGGGCTGCCTAGAGCAAGAATACGTGTTAACATGGCGGTAGCCAGCAGTTTACACGCATTTCCAGTTGTTTGTTGTTAAATAATCGGCCGAAAAAGATGAAATTTCTTTATGTGAACATTTATAAATAATGTCAGTGTTTCAAAATAATTAAAAACTTAACATTATGGGAACGGTTTGGAGCTTAAAAATAGGTGCGGCTTATACACAGGCGACCCAAAAAATCGTGATATTTCGCATCCTAATTTGGGGGGGGGGGGCGGCTTATACACAGGTGCAGCTTATACACCAGAATATACGGAAGGTAATTTAAAAAATGAAGTACTACTGTATATGACAATGCAAAGTATTGTAAAACATTAACGTTTCCTATTTAATAAAATTCATCCACTTTGGTAACAACAAGAAATTATTTTAAGGTAATCAACAAATACAGTACTTGTATGCTTTTGGGAAGTTTTTGTTACACAATTGCATGAAAATAACCTGTCAGTATCATGGATTGAAGTACAGTATACGTACCATGTGCATCCTGCATTTTCTTAAATATGAATAATCTTTTGTTTGCTTTGTACTGTACATACTGTACATACTTTTAGTTCTATTTTTAAGGGATTGGAAATTACCTGGACATTTTTATTTGATTCTTCTCCATGGATTTAAAAAAAAAAGTACAAAAGGCCTACAGGAAAGGGCCATTTATATCATCAGTCCACTGTCTGTAGACGAAGTGTTACAGAATAAAACATTTTTACGTATCAGTACAGTACTCACTTAATTTAGTAGCCATGTTGGAGAAAAAAAATGATGTACTGTACATCTGGTCACTACAGTAGTTGATAATTTTTTTGTATACCCTTTAATAATTATTTTACATTTTTTTGTTCAATGTCTCAGTAGAGTACAGATACATTTTTTTAAAATATTATTTTACTCTGACAGAAAAATTATCTTGCAAAGCATCAAAGTGCAGGAAAAAAATAAGTGTGAGTAAGGCACTCATAAAGTTTGAATTAGGAAAAATGTTACATAAAAATAATAGTAGCCAAAGAGTAAACACGATTTTTTTAGCCTACTGGAGTAAAATAATCCTACTTTTAGGAAACTGTTCAATCTAAATGCGAAAGTAAGCCATTTCAAACATTCAGTAATTATCAGCAAGATGACTTAATTATAAATGCCAAACATTCAGTTAACATACACTGTAGTGTCACCACATTGCGGGCAGATTTTGGTTGCTATAATATCAATAGAGCGACTGATAGGAAATTCTACAAACAGGCAATTAGGTGACAAAAAATTAATTTTGCTTAATTACAGGAAATTGCGTACATCTATTAGAGAAATTTAATTACTCCCAGGATTTCCACTACTGTGTCTCAAATATACAAGCAAAGGTCAATCTAGATGGTGATCCAAAAGCATATAGTACTGTATTTTAGTTTTAGGTACAAATACTATACAAACAAGGACTGAAATGACACATTTTAGTAGGAAAACTGCCAATATAAAATAACACTGCTTCTGCACAGTAGAGCATAGAGAAACCTATTCCAACATGAATGCAATCAACATCTGAAAACTCAAGTGAAAGAGGTCAAAATATGTGCATGCCACATGACATCAATGAATCGTACCGTAGAGTATGTACTTTAACTGTCCCTTATAGTGGCGGATCCAGGAATTCAAAATTGAAGGGACACAGGGAGGAACTTTTGCAGCTGGAGGATGTACAGTATACCACCTCAGCCCACCATGGTTGGGGCTGAGGTAAGAAAATTTGTGATTATGGCACCTCTAGATGACTTAAAATTTAAATACATTTTCTTTATATCTCCATTAAAAATAATCTTTCAACAATTTACAGAAGGGTGCCAAGGCAGTGCTTATAAAAATACATTTCAATTGTCCTGTAAATAATTCAAGTCATACAGGATTCTATATAGTACAGTATGCCTCTAAGTTATGTCTCTGGGTTTTTCAATATACAGTAGTAGCCTTCTTTTCAAGTCATACTGTATGAGAGTTCCATCTCTGTACAGTATTTTAACACTGTACACATTGTATTTTCATTACACCCAGGGTAATATAATACACTTGATTAAGCGCCGCGGCATTTATGGTACTTGCGGAAAACTTTTTTTTGACGACTGTTAAATTGATGACACGTCCACACAGAAATTTCCCGCGACCTAATTTTGGGTCATGACCTCTAGTGTAGGCCTAGTACAATTTTAAAGTAAGCCCAGCCTATAATTTCAAATTGCAAAAATAAGAAATAAAGTAATTTCAAATATCTTTTAGTGGAAAGAGTTTTACCCAGCTGCTTTCAACTCGGCTGAGATTATCTTTGGCCCGTCAAATCAACTCTATAAATAATTTGGCTTTTCAAACAAATTAATTAGAACCAGGAGTCTATAGCATGAACCATTTTAGCAGTTACACTCAATTTGATGCAATAGTTTGTAGTAATTTTGTACAAAAAGGAAAGAGTATACCACTCATACACTATGGTGGCTCAGTTTAAGTCAAAACATTAGGCTATGAAAGACTACGGTACTATCCTGTACAGTATGTCATATTTACGTCATAGTCAAAAAATTTGAAAACTTGACATTTGACCACAAGAAGTTGACATACCGGTATTCATTAATAAAATATAAACATATTTGGAAGCTATTGCTTTAAATTGCACATACAGTAGATGAATGATGTTTAATTAACTCTTAATATTAGACATTTGGCTACCAATATTTAGTCTTTCGCTTTTATGTGCAACTACTGTATGGCATAACAGTACTGTACTACAATATTTAAACAACCTCAGCATAAATCACCGATCAATTCTAAAATCTAAATTCAAATATTCTGTACTTCCAAATGGAGAATAAAAACACTGAACAAGATAAATCAACTAAAATTATTTTTTAAATAATCAAAATACAAATACAGTAGTACTATAGTTGAACATAGAAATTGTATTGTGAACAAAATAATTTTATGCAAACCCAATAATTTTTAAAGAGAACCTAACTGTAATATAAAATTCCTCTATGGCCAAACTAATGTCAGGGACAGACACCTGTTTTGCAGCACATATATTTTGGGAAACAGCCAATCTCAAGTATTAGGGTACCGTCAATAATTCATAGGTATAGTAAAGGGTAGCTGGGAACCAGACCGTAGAGTAATATATCCTCAGAAAAACAATTTGCCCTGCGCATTTCGGAAAATAAGGGCAGATTTTGCCGAAAATTAGGTTTTGACTTAATCTTAATATATAATATGCATTATGCATTAATTTACGATTATGGTTTTTTTTCCTCGCAATTTTCCATGCTAATTTGAGCTGTTTTGAGGTAAGGCCTAGCCTAATCTACACAATTAATAAACTTTACAGCACAGTATGTAGGTATGTTAAAAAAAAATTATATTTGATTGGATGTCCACAATACTGATATCACAAATTCTACCAAGTGTTATAACATTAAAAACGTTTACAAAATTAAATTTGGTTGTATGGTTGATTTTTTTAAATATTTAATTATGGCGAAAATTTTGCTACAGGCGTTATACAAAGTTTGTGACCTTTTTACTAATTTGTCAATTCTCATTGTGTATACCCTGTCTCTTATACACATGTTTTGTTTCTGTAATTATCCTTACATCTCAACATTTTGAATTTTTTAAGTATTTTTCCCGAACTCAGGAAAGGTTAAATAAGCAATATATGGCCACTTGTCTCATCCCCGCACCCCCCCTTTAATAACAATTATGCCGTTTGAATCATCCTCCAATGTACACATCTTTCGATCAGCGGACATTTTTATGCATCGGACTCGAGAGTCGTAAGATTTGAGAAAATCAAAAAAATTGTTGAGTAGCATCAGATCTAAGTCATACTTGGCATAGATATTAAATATATAATTCTTAAAATTACAGGATGGTTTTTAAAATTTACAGAGCTTACAAAATATGTGTAAATGATGCTTTATTTCAAAGAAAAAGTTCCGTACACTGTAACTCCGTGACCGATCAATGAAAAAAATATTTTTAAATAGCGCAAGTAAACTTTGACCAAAGGTTCAAAGGTTAGCGAATGCAACCAATAAACGATTTAATACGATTTTTTCTAATCTGGATGCAATGTGCAAAACCAAAACAATCAGCATCGGCGTCGCGAAAATGATAACAGTCCGTGACGTCACTCTTCTAACATACCTACAGTATATGGATGGGCTGGGAATAGCAATGTAGTGTTGTCTTATAATATCAATAGACTATTGCCTAACCAATTAGGCCTGGTCTAGACTAGTTGAGAGCACCCTCCTAGGCTAGGCCTGTATGTAGGCTAGCCTAGCCTATCCTAGGCCCTAGCTAGGCCTCTTAATTTGAAAAACCAAAACACACACACAAAAATGTACACTGTCGGATGTATTTAACTAATTATTCGTAATCGTACACTAGTATGGTATACATAAATATTTTGAACGTATGTCAAATATATAAATATTGCACAAAACACATTTTGTTCTATATTTAGCTAGCCTATCACATCAACAATATTTGTAAAGCAGTCTAGCACTTCATGAATGAATGTCAACACACAACAGAGAGCCAACTTGCTAGGCCAACAAAAACAAAACCAGCTCGGCCAAATCAGTCTGTAATATTGGCTTTAAATGGACTCATCTTACCTGGTCTCCGCTTCATTGTCCGTGGTGATTGTAATTGAGTGCTTATATTTGGTACATCTTTCCTATTATCATCATTTTCTGCTTTTAATTGTGCATCTAAAACTCTTAATTTCTTCTCAATATAATCTAAACTCGACATCTCGATAAAATGACAATGTATACGCATGCGTACTGTCCTGTTTAATTGATACATCCTCTAACAACATTTCGTAGATATATTTTATTTTTATATAGTATAGCGTGTAATAATAATAATTACAACAAAATAAATTGAATTTATAAATTATTTGGAACTGATTTAAAATTAATTAAACATACATTCCAATACATTAGATAATATAAAATTGGTTTGGTTTTACAATTGTCACGAAAAGTAAAGTGTCAGATCGACAATACTGACCTCTAGAATTCGTATTTTTATAGCCTGGTTCCCGACTGTCCGCGTGTCGATCCTATAGAGCGCAGGGGTGGGCCGCTATTCGGTCGGAGGGCCAAAGTGAATTTCTAATCACCGAGGGCCATAGGCGTAGACCCCGGGGGGATGGAGGGGATATATCCCCCCCCCCAATAGTTGACAAGGAGGGATGGTCCATTGTATCATCCCCCCCCCATCAATATTTTGACTATGTATGGGATAAAATGCAGCTTTACACACTTCAAAAGACTGTCACAGAAATAATTTGCACTGTCTTATGCGCTTACAAAAATGAAAATTAGCATAATGTATTAATGTTGATAACAAAATTATTTTATCTGGTACCAATCTAAGCTCTTCTTTCCTTAGATGTTAGATGTGCTTGCAAAGAGAGCCACATTTCACACTGAAGGGTGTGTATAGTACGACATCAGTAATGTTATATCAATTCCAAGAATGTTTAAGGTTATATCGGTTGATGAGGAATTTATTGATTAGGCCTATAACAGCAAATCGCATCAATTTATTTTGCAAAAACAAGGTTTCCAGCTTCAGAGGGGGCACATCTCCTGTCCGCACAAGGGCACACATTGGCGCTAACACCAGGCGCGTAACAGGGGTCTTGGGTCAGAGTGGGTATATTTTTTTTAAATTTTTTATTTTAACCATCTTTAAAGAGGGTACGGTAACCCTTCTAGTTTAGCCCAGTACGTTAACTGACATTCAGGGTCCCTCTTTAATAAAATTAAAGAACAGTACAAACAACATCATCACAACATAATAA